GGGAGGGAGGGGAGGGACGGAGGAGAGTCAAGGGAGGGAGGGGAGGGAGGGGAGGGAGGGGAGAGGCGGGGAGGGGGATTGCATTGCAATGGATTGCATTTGATAGGATTAGAAGCGTTTGCATGGCCATAGATTGGATTGCGATCGGTTGAATTGCAATTGATGCGATTACAATCGATTGGAATGCAGGGGAGGGACAGGAGGGAGGTCAGGGATGGAGGTGAGGGAGGGGGCGGAGAGGATGGAGGGGACGGACGGGAGAGAGTGGAGGGAGGGGATGGTGGGAAGGGGGCGGAGGGAGGGGAGGGGGCGGAGGGAGGGGAGGGAAAGGAGGGATGGGGAGGTTTGTGAGGGAGGGGGAGGAGGATAGGAAATAGAAGCGGGGGAGGGTGGGGAGGGTAGGAAAGGGACTGAGGGGAGGGCGTTGCAAAGGGAGCAGTAGAAGTGACTCGTATTTTTATGACCCTGTTAGGCGTTGTCAAGGGAGGAACTTAGCCGAATTGTATATTGTGGGTTCCTGACCTTCCCAATGTCATGAGTATAGCATAATAGTATGTGTGTTACGCCTCCTCTTCTGGTTTTTTCTTCTCTCCATTACGCAATGTTTCATGCCCGCCTCGGTTGTCGGATCCATGAGTGGTTGGAGGGCTGGGTGAGCCTGGGTGAACAGACGGCTACACCGCTGGGCAACTGTCGGGGTCCGCGCATTGGATTCATCTTCTCCTGGTCGGCAGTCTCTGCGTGGCTTCTGCTGAGGTGTTCGCTTCACATAGTCTCATCCTTCTTCCATCACATGCTTTAGGTCGTTGTTTTTGTGGGCCTGGACAGCCTTTGAATTGTTTGTCCTGCTTTCGTTTTCGTTATGTTCGTTCCATTTGTGTTAGTTTATTTCATCGTGTTGCCAGATGGCCGCTCGATCTGGGAGGGCATGTGGGCGCGCGTGGTGATTCGTGGGATCTCGTACTGCGCCGTATTTCAAGTGCTTCAGTACTTCACGCTTCACACAGTCTCATCCCTCTTCCACATTGGTTTTTTGTCGAAGGTTGTTGAAGGATTTTGGCATGACGAGCGCCTCCTTGGATGGCCCCTTGACGACTTGGGGCCGTCTTGGGGCGGTGCCGGAGGCTCTTGGACGCATATTGTGAGCGAGCTGAAGCGATGTGGGGCTATCTTGAGGTATCTTAGAAGCCATCTGGAGCGCTCCGAGGCTCCTTGGAGCCATCTTGGGCTAAAAAGGACGCTCTGACACCTTGCGAAATCCCCCCTCCAGGTCCAGGGCAGGGGGCAAGGGGAAGGGCGACCCCACCCCCGAAGGGGAAGAAGGGGGTTGGAAGAAGGGAATATGGGCGAGCCAAACCACTCACGCCCGAAAGGGCTGGTGGGATTGCGGAGGAGGGCGGAGGAGTGAGGAGGAGGGGGGAGGAGGAGGTCGGGAGATGAGAACGAAGCACGAGTCCGAGGAACGTCCCGAGAAGCTTCCAAAAGGTGTCGACTTTCGATGGCTTTTTGTTGACGCGCGTCGACGTCTGGATGTTTGTGGATTTTGTTGACGTTTGATGTCTGAAACCTTTCAATTGATCTTTGTGTATTGTTTTTCGGTGTATTATTTTTGGTTTTCGTTGATGTTTGGAGTTTGTCTGTTTCTTGTTGTTTTTTCGAAGACGTTTGAGTTGTTTGTAGGTTTTCGTTGACGCTCGACGTTCGTTGAATTTTGGTCGGTCTGGTGTGCGTTTCATTGTTGGTTGATTTTTGAGTTATTATTGTCGACGGTTGAATTGCAATCGATTTGATTACAATCGATTGGAATGCAGGGGAGGGACAGGAGGGAGGGAGGGGAGGGAGGGGAGTGAGAGGATGGAGGGGAGGGAGGGGACAGAGAGGAGGGAGGGGATGGAGGGGAGAGGGCGGAGGGAGCGGAGGGGGCGGAGTGAGGGGGGGAAGGGGGTGGAGGGGAGGGAGGTGAGGGAGGGGAAAGAGGAGAGGATATGGAGGCGGCGGAGGGCGCGGTGGGTAGGAAGAGGAGCGAGGGGAGGGCGTCGCAAAGGGAGGAGTAGAGTAGAATAGTATTTTTGTGTTCCTCCAGGATTGTATATTGTGGATTCCTGACTTGCCCATTACACGAGTATAGCATAATAGTATTTGTTTCGTTCCCGGGCGTTGGCACGGGACGAGTTGAATGATGCACTTGCGTTGCAATCGATTGCAATCCATTGGCTTGCAAACGATTCGATTGCAATCCATTGGATTGCAATCGATTGGATTGCAATCGGTTGAATTGCAATCGATTCAATCGATTGGATTGCAGGGGGGGACAGGACGGAAGGGAGGGAGGGGAGGAGAGGGAGGGGAGGGAGGAGATGGAACGAAGGGTGTGGAGGGAGGGGAGGGAGCGGAGGGAGGTGGGGAGGGGGATTGCAGTGGAATGGAGTGCAATCGATTGCAAGCGATTCGATTGGGATTTTCGCTCGTCGATCGTTGATCGTTGATCCTCCATCCTCGATCGTGGATTGTTGATTTTGGATCGTCGGCGAAAGGGAGGGCGGAGGCTCCGGGGGCTGGGCGGCCAAAGGGGGGAAGGGTGGGGGGGGCTTCCAAGCTCTCCCCCCCCCTTGGCACAAAGGGGGGTGGGGGGGGGGGGGGGGGGCTTCCAGCAGGGCGGCTCCAAGGGAGGGGGGGGTAGCTTAAGCACCCCCCTCCCTGCGCAGGGGAGGGGCAGCTTCCGGGGCGCACCCCCCCCCCCCTTTGCACGAACGGGGGGGGATGGGGGTTAGCTTCCAGCAGGGCGGCGCCAAGGGAGGAAGGGGGGTAGCTCAAGCTAGGTGCGCTCGCGTCATATCTGACATCCTACCCCTCCCTCCCATCCCTTACCATGGCGCAGATCCCCTCTCTACTCGCACAGTCGGATGTCGAGTAGGGCAATGATCCCGAAAGGGTACGTGATGCATTGTAGAGCACGGCGTGGCATGGCGTAGAAGAGTACCGCAAAGCGTAGCATCAACCTAGCACTGCATTGCATGCCGTGGCATGGCACGGGGAATGACGCCAGCGCTGCAGCGGGAGCACGAGTCGAAACGAGCGGAAACGCGGAAATGAGGCCAGCGCTGCAGCGGGAGCACGATTCGGAACGAGTCGGAATCGGCCCGGGAGGCTCCCGGGCGGCCCCCGGGCCGGAAGCAGAAATTCCGCATTTTCCACAGAAAAATATCTATTGGAATGGCTTTTTTTCGGCGCCGCCTCGGAACTCGATTTTCTGGCGGCGGCCAAAACCGGCTCTGGACCCGGTCCGGGCGCCGGCCCGGGCGCCGGCTCGGGCGTCCGGTCGGGCGCCGGCCCAGGCGTCGGAATCGGCCTGGGAGGCCTCCCGGGCGCCGGAAGCAGAAATTCTGCATTTTCAAAATAAAAAAGTGTATTAGAATGGCCTTTTTTCGGCGCCGCCTCGGAACTCGATTTTCTGGCGGCGGCCGGAACCGCCTCCGAACCCGGCCTGAGCGCCGGCCTGGGCGCCGGCTCGGGCGTGCAGCCCGGGCGCTGGCGGAAATGAGGCCAGCGCTGCAGCGGGAGCACG